TTTTTAACTTAACAATCAAACGTTCTCTGAAGCTAAAACACATATCATTTTATAGCTAAGGTGTTTATCTGTAGAATGGCATATCTCTCAGCTCTATTGAACATTTCTATGAAAAGCTGTGATTTTTCAAAATATGGTACTTTTCGCTACTATTAAAATAAAATGCTTATAACTCTTGAAGGATTGAACGAGAGCACGAATGGTTTTCAGATTCATAATCAGCATCCTTAAATTAGCAAAGTGGGATACATTGCTTTGAAATCCCAGGGAAACACCTGGGGACCTTCCCTCGTTAGCTGATTCTTAATATCTGCATATTCTAAATGGGACTATTTATGTAGAATATCGTGCATAACTTTCATCTAGCTATGAGAATAAATGTTTCATTTTATTCATACTCTTAGTACTATTTTTAGACTTTTGCGATTTGACTAACTGGTTTTTCGTATGCAAATAATCCACCGAGACCCTTTTTCAGTTCAATTTTTTCCTTTCAAGGATCATATCAGATTTCGCGCTCGTGCATTCCATTCGACTCATAATTAACATTTTGATGTGCAAAAGAAGAATGCTTGTATTATGCAAAATGAATTTGTTTTGTTGGTACTTTGCTGCTGTGTAAAATATTGTCAGTTACAGACAGGCGAAATGATGCGTACTATGTCAACAACAGCAGTCTCAAAAAAAGATCTCTTGTTAGAATTTGCTAATATTTTATCTCAATGTGAAAGAGAGTGTTCCCAACCAACAGGATGGCTTCTGAAAGTATTTGTCGATGACTGCTGATCACTTTTATGCATTCCTAGTCAAATGACGTCTATCTTTATTTAGCGTATACATGGGTTGAATTTCACAAAAGTTTCCTGCTATGTAGCATGGTATTGTTCAGGCATTGGAGACTATACGGGGCATTGGTCTTCATGGTCAGCGTCATCATCACAATGTTCAGTGGACACAACTGATTGTTTAAAGTATTCAAGAAATTGGCCGGGTTATAGAGAAGTTCATCGACAATGTGTGAAAACTAATAAAACATTATCAGTCCGAGCAACACTAAAATCACCAGCAAAACAACTGAGTGTTCGCTGTCCACCTGACGTGCATGGGATAACAGACAAAGCTTTACAACAATGTGTGGTACCTAATCATCCGGTACGATTCTGACGTCTAGTGACTGTTATCTGAATGACTGTTAAGTTTGATTATCTACTTATGTTTTAGATTGAATGTAAAACTAAAGAACAGTTTCATTGGAAAGAATGGTCGCAATGGTTGTGTGGTGTATGTGATATGAATAAACCATATAGTTTAGAAAATTCATCATGGAGAATGAGAGAGTGTGAAATACGTGAAATCAATGGTACATGTCTTGCTGATGAACGTGGTATTATGGACACAGAAAGAGGGCCTTGTAGTCTATGTGAAAATGGTAATGATGCGACTATATCAGACATATTTGTTGACACAATTTTCGATTGTTTTAGAATGGACAAAGTGGTCTTCTTGGTCACATTGTAAAGAACAATGCGAATCAACCGGCCGTCATCGATTTCGAACTTGTCTCGGTACTGAACAACGTCGATGTACATGCGATATTCTTCGTGAGACATCAAAACAAAAGTTTCACGAAACAAATCAGGCAAAAGATATGATCATTGTATTAAATTGTTCTCATGAATGGAGACCATGCGACAGTCGACGAGACGATGTCTGTCCACCAGTTGATGGTGGCTGGTCAAAATGGGAATCTTGGGAATTGTGTTCAACTACGTGTGGTAAAAATGGTGTTCGTGTTCGAAAACGATCGTGTTCACATCCATTTCCAACAAGTTTAGGAAAACCGTGTAACGGGAATAGTATCGATTTTGAAAAATGCGAGGTTTGTCTTTCATGTTTTCGTTAAATAATTTATAAATGTGTTTGCGTAATTTTTAGACAAATTCCATCTGTCCTATCAATAGTGGATGGAGTGCGTGGTCTAACTGGAAATGCTCAGCGACATGTGGTACCAATGTGACAGCTGAAAGAAAACGAACTTGTAATAATCCACCAGCAACATTTGGCGGATTACATTGTGACGGAAACAAAACTGAGATCAAAAGTGATCGTATCAATAGCATATTTATTAGTATTTTTTGTACTCTTTTTATTTCAGTCTGTTCAACATTGAGAACATGTTATACGGGTCCCTCAGAATTCAATTTTATATATTATTCAATTGATCGACAAAATTCAAGTTTTATCGTTAAAGAAGGCAGCACTCTCACAGTACCTTGTCGTATTAAAACGCAAAACAATTTTTCCTTTTCTATTGGCCGATTGTTAAGATCAGTGTAAGTGGAAAAATTGAAATATAAGAAATATGACGATGCAAATATTTGGTGATTTTAGAATGATACATTGGCGTTTAAATGGTGAAGATCTTCTTATTGATCCAAAACGTATGATATTTGAAAAAACATCATTAATCATCTTCAATGTACGTCCGTTTGATAGTGGTGTATTAGAATGCATGATATTAGTTCCTACATTAACAGCTATTTATGTCCCTATTAGTTTTTCATCAATAGCTGTAATATCATCAGCTACTCTCAATGTTCCTCTCTTTAAACCGATCATTATCAACTGTAATTTTAAATCATTTACACTATTTAATTCTGTATTAAAACGGCCTCTTGTTTCAACATACAAGTTTTCTGTAGAATATTCGAAACAAACTCATCTATCACGTATTATTCAGAAAAAAGATGTTGTTTCACAAATGGAAAAGATACGTTTAACGAATCAATCGTCTCATTCGGATGATAACGAAGTGATTAAATGTAAAGTGAAAGAATTTGACAAAAAAAACGGGGAAAGGAAGAATCGAAATCTTCGATTATGGACAACCAATATTATCAAAATTCATATCTTAAAAACTCCGAGTTGGCATCAAAAGCCAATGGGTATTGCTATGATCGTTCTTGTATGTTTTCTTCTCGCCGGTATTCTGCTAATATTCATTGCTTATTTTCTCAGCAGGACATCAGAATATTTCCAAAATAACTTTGTTCGAATTTCGAAAACATTAAGTTTAAAAGAGATCGATCGCAAATCAAAACGTCATAGTAGCAGCAAACTGAAAAATACTGAACAATTACGATATAGATGATAAAGTGAACTATGTGTTATTTCCAATAAAACATAACAACTGATTTTACTGCATGGAATACCGAATTTATTGCAATGAGTGTTACAGAAGGGAAGTACAAGGAGAAAGAGCGGTTTTGGAGGGTTATAGGAGAGTTGAGAATCATATAAAGATCGTTTTGCTAGCGTAAAGAGAGCAAATTTATTTCATAATTGTCAAGCTATATCTTCAAAAACAACTGAAATAAATTATTTCTATAAACTCGTTTCGACAAATTAAGCAACATCTTGAACTTTCGCCAAATGAAATCTCCAGTCTGAGTGAAGCTATTTTTCTCAAGCATATGACCTTCTTGAGTTTTTTAAGTAAAAGTCTCATAGTGTGGAGCCGTTTCTTACTCATAAAACGTATTTTGTTTAACTGCTTTAACCAATAAAATCTGAAATTTTCTTTCAATGTTAAAATATAGACTAGTATAGACATGTTTTTGTATAGAGCAGCTTTGTGTATGTCTCAATGCATACAAAAGAAGGGGTTTAGGACATTTTCTTGCGGACAGTTGCTGGCACGACAAGTTGCTCTCCTATACCGATGTTCGCTAGAACTAGTGCTCGCCAGGACAGATTCTCATCAGATCCTAACCAGAAACTTAAAACAGAAAAAGTATTTTGTGAAACTCAATTGTTATTCAGAACCAGTGGAAAAATTTCATGAGAAATTGAAACACGAGACAGCACACAATCATACAGATTCGCAGTTTGAAATATAACTATGAACACAATTATTGGAACGATATATTCTAACTGACCAAGGATCGAACTGACCTAAGGTGTTGGTTTAAAACGGAACTAAAGGAAAAGGCGATATCTTTCAAAACTCGGGGCTTCTTTCTAAGACATTGCCTACACTCTAAAAAAAATGTATTTCAAAAAACCCTAAAAGGTATTTTCCATTTGAGAAAAACCAAAACAAAGGTATAACCACCCTTAAAAAACGTTTAAAGGGTATAACCATTTGAACCATATCATAACTGTTTAAAAGTTTCTTATTTTTATCAAAAAACTAATTTTCGTTTTCTAAAATACGGCTAAATTATGTTCTAAAAAACGGTTGATGTTTCTTCATGTCACAAAAAAACCTTTCAGGTATTTTAAAATCCCAAAGCAGTTCAGGGTTCTTTAACTCACGGCTTTTTCGTATCCTAAAAATCCCAAAAGGGTTTTCTGATAAAAGTAAAAAACTTTTAAACAGTTATGACATGGTTCAAATGGTCATACCATTTTCCGTAAACGTTCTTAAATTCTAGGTTACCTTTCTTTAGAGTAGTTTCCATCATCGTTGGCTCAGTCGAGTAACTACTAGTGATAAATATACACTAATAACATCAGAAAGAAAGAGACGAAGAAAAATACCTTTGGTGTTTTAGCTATTTCTCCAAACCCATATTTGTTTCCAGACTTTTCGAAACCGTTTCTTGCTTTTTATCGAAAATCGTTTCGGCATATTTCTTGCACTCCTCATTCAATTTGTCTATTAGATTACTGTGAGTCTATTTCAGAAGGTCGCTGAGTTCTTCCGCACTCGTCAGCGTGTTCTTCATTTATTCTCATTGAAAAGCCATAAGAGCGTAATGTAATTGTTCTATTATTATTGGTCTTTATGACAAGACTCCCTTACCTTTATCATTCATCGCCAAAAAAAGTGTCCTGAGTATTAATATCCGTCTTTTCTGATGATTATGACCACCATCTATTAACAAACAAAAACATCTTCCCTTTAACAATAGAACCAGAAGAAATCACAATGTCAAGGGATAAAAGCGGATCCGGGATCCGTGCAGATCCACGCGGATACACAAGGTATCTAGAATGAAAGAGCATATGATTTTATGTTGTTTAAGAACCCTAGTTTCCCTTCGGACTTGTTATCTGTGAGAAAATCGATTAGCTTTGACTAATAGCTTCGCGAACAGATTGTGATATGTCTTTCGCACTTTTCTCAGAATGAAACAAGTTTGAAGGAAAGTCTTATATACCATTCGATGCAGCTTTAAACGGCGAATAAAACTATCTATTGCTCAATTGTTAGGTACACTGCGAACACCCACATTTTTGGAATATTACCGTTAAAATGACCTTTTCAGCATAGTCCGCGTTAGCATTTCTATTTTTTCACGATGAGACAATCTCGACTGCGGTCTACATTATATATCGAACGAAAGCTTTTTCAAAACTCTACAAAATGGCTGGTAATTCCTTTCTAGTTGAAAGTGTAAACATTCACTTTTTCGGATATTACTACTGGAGAGTGATGTTTTCGACATTGATGGATAAGCTCAATCCATATAAAACCTACCACCATTTACATCGACCTTTGACGTCAGTGACCAGACCTACCTCATATTATAGAGCTCAGCAAGTTGAACCGAGTGGTGAAAATCGGTAGTCTCTACTTTTGTTAGAAAAAAGTTATAGCCATTTCGCCCTCGCAACGGATTTAGTCTAACTTGTAGAACGTCTGCTAACCATATTTCCTAACGTAGAACCTTGAAGTTGGTTCAAATGAAAGAGCGCGTCGAGTTCTATATATTTCGATGAAGAAAAGTTATGCTACATCTCGGGGCCAAGATGCTGGCCAAGTTTCTATGATCTTGCACGACCGTGTTACAGGTTTTTTAATATTACGAATATAAATTCATTTGCTTTAATGCTCATTTTCGGTCTGTATCGTATTTTCTATGGAACTTTTTGACACAACATCGTAGAAACCTGGCCAGCATCTGATGTTATGTAGAACTGAAGAGGCT